TTTTTCAATTTATGTCTATCTGGTGGAGATTATAAATTGAAACCTCTTGAGGGGGATTGATTTCCCAATACTGATATTACTAAAACAATATATACTAAATAATTCATGCTTTAGGAAAGTGAGGGGTTTAGTGGATGTTCTCCAGCGACAGCCGAATTGCACCTGGCTGATCCTTTTGGACCTCTTTGGTTTCGATGGGAATCCCAGGAGTATGGTTATGTGATTCTACAGTACAGGTGGTCATGAGTCAAGTGTGTGTAACTAGGCCGGGTCTTTATTGATTTGTGAACAGCTTAGGGCAACCCAGTTATGCTGGAAATGACAGATGTCGGATCGAACCTAGGTTATGGTTTCGGATATGTTTATGTTCAACCCCTGAACTGGGACATGGGGAGTTAACCTCTCGGTAGGTAGGGACTCGGAATCTCATGGATCTCTCCTGTTCGAAGCAGCTGTATCATACAGGGGCACCGCAACCTGAAACCTGCGAGCATAAGCAGCTAGGGCAGCTAGGGGTTGAACAAAAGCAAAGAAACTCTCGCGCATGTATCCCCAAAACTACTCTTCCGCTTCTGACCCTTGGTCAAACATGATAAAAATCATGACAAAACACCTGTGGTTCACTGGTTCTCTGAACACAACACCCTCTGTCACAATGCGTTACTCTCTCGCTCTTGTCTCTTTCCAGTCTCGCTGGTCTTGATCACGGATATGCTCGTCTTGTGCCTTCGATGTTCGTTCGCTTCGACCGAGGCGGATCGTTGGACGTAGACACCGGTTGGACACACCCGTTGGACACCATACCGTCGTGGGACCAAGGACGTAGATCGATGGCAAGCCGGTGACCCTGTAGAAGTGTGTGATTTATATGGACCGCCACTCTTTTCAGTACATCTTGGGGTCTGTGCCATCTACTCTTAAACCACTGTACTTGACTTGGACAAGGGTCTGGGTGGTTCATGGACCACCCTGGGGCCTCATCATTGTGCGAACAAGATCAGCCTTCAATCATTCAAGACGTGCATGCTGCTGACTGTTTCTGGTTGGTGTTTTCAACCCACTTGAAACATATTAGTCAGAGGGTCCAATCATCCCTGGTCAACCTGAAAGACCAAACCGCATGGCCCCCTCCACGGCAGGCCAGCTCGGAAGACGAGGCGGGAGACACTTCGGGTCGAACCCTCGAGTTCTCGCGGAGCGACCGTGGACCGTTCGAACGGTCGGTTCGGGTTGGGAATGGTCCCCACTCCATTGGGACTGGAATGTATGGCAGTCCCATGGACGCTGGCACCACCCCAACTGATTGGCAAAAACTGGCAGTCCCATGGAGCGTTGGGGTTTGTTCGTTGGTGGTTGGAATCACGAGTCCACGGTCGCCCAAGAGTTTTGTTCCTTCGTGTTTGCCCATCGGCGATGGCCCATTGAATCCATGGCTTGGATTGAGATAGATGAGAATTTGCAACACTTGAAAGCAGATATTGCATGTTTACTAACCAGCACCAAAAGGGTGGTTATTGAATAAGGAACATACCATAACATACCTAGTGAGGGGTACCATATAAATCACCCTGTTTGTGGTGCTGGTATATGTATGTTATGTATGTGTATATCAAGCTATATAGTAGGAAGTTGTATACCGTATACCACATTATGTGCTTTTGGATGTTTTTTGCTTTCTGTTGGGTACTTCGCATCGAACCCTGCAGAAACCTGCGGTTTCCAGCCGAAGCAGCCACAGGAAGCCGAGCCTGGCTTTGCCCTACCGGAGCGCCACGGCATGAATTGCCCCAACCCCCAACGAGCCAACTCTCGGATTTCAGCGTCCGGGACGCGAAGGGCTTCCGTCTCAGACTGCAGACACAGTCTGCCTTGGGAGTAGACTGTCAGAATCGGTTTCTTCAAGCCTTTGTTTTCTGAAAGACATGAGCATTCAGCAAAACCTCCCTTAACATGGTAAGAAGAGTGTATGTCATATGGCAAGCAAACCTGTGGTGTGCGTAAGGTTGTGTTTCTGGTACATGTTGATTTTTTCTGTTGTGTAAGGTCTATAGCATGCTATAGCTATATACTGCATGTTTTGGATGCTGTTGGGCATGTCTTGTTCGTGCTAATTGGATCATCCGAGTTGCTTGTACCGAGTAAAAAGGATTTCGGGGAGGTCCTTGACGTCGCCTGCTTTGAGACATCCAGGAGGGCGTCAGGTAGGGGGGGTTTCGGTGTGTCCAGCGTCAGCGTAGGCGTAGGCGTATATAAGGGTTTTTCATGTTGGGTCATTTTTCTATAGGAAGATGGCGTAGGGAAAACCTGTGGTTGCGTAAGCTAAGTGTAAGCAAGTTATACGACAGTGACATAAGACTTTAATCACACGTTTTGTGAGAAGCTCACATTACGAGGGGACGTTCAGCTGCTGCACAGCATAGATGTTCTGCTAAAGGTTGGTTGAGGGGATACTGTCCACATTTTCCTATATCAGCCTAAAAGATTGCAACTCACATATCATATCATATCATATCATAAAGAAAATCCAACCCTCCCTCAACATGCAACAAATAGTTTGCCCCTGTGGCCTTGATGTTAGTTCTCCTTGTGTTTGCAATTCCGACAATTACTTGCGTCATATTGTTTATCCAGCATAGAGACATAGTCAGGAAACTTCTCCACAATCGGAGTATGAGACTCGCTTGTGTTTCAAGGTAAGGAATGGGATCTGGATCTCTGGCATCAACAGCCCTTTTTCCTTTGATTGAACACCTCTCTCTCTCTCGAGTTCATGCCATGTCAGAGTCGACGGAAATCTCTTGAGCAGGTCTTTGCGGCGATCGCAAAGCGACAGCAAAGGGATTTACCACCGAAGATCGATGAGATATGAATACATCAGAAAGATTCATAAAGACATGCAGTTTCTCTGAAAAACGTGAGGATTGCTTCCGCCACGACGGTCTTTTCCTTAAGTTCACAGCACCGATCGCGGCCGCAGAAAATCAGTGCAGAAAGATCATACGAATTGATTCTCTTCACTATGATTCTTTCTAGTCGTCCGAATTCATCTGGAGTTTTGAAAGATATCAGCGATACCGATACGATAGTATTTTGTCACTTATGCTTATGCTATACAAAAGGTTCCCTTCTGGGCCGTCTATGGCAATGGCGATGATGCCCAAAAAGGCACTGAAGGTCAACAAGATCAAGCAGAAGGTGCCAAAACTCCAGGAGCGGTATGAGCTGCGTAAAGAGCTGGGGGGGATTTAGAGCCGTGCTCCGTGCTTTTTGCCCGAGAATGCAGGTGGAGGTGGCGGTGAAGAAGGTGAACCAATGGGGCGATTGCGGAGAGGCAAGCATCATGAAGCAGATGGCCCATGTCAAGATCGTGAGCCTCATCGAGGTCTTTGATGATGCCAAAGGCCGCTATTTGATCCTGGAGCTGTGCCACAATGGGTGTTTGGGCGATATCATGGAGATTTGTGGCAAGCAGGAATTGGCGAGTGTCCGCTATGCAGTAGCTGGCATAACGATTGCTTTAGAACATGTTCACAGCAGGAATATCTTGCATTGTGATGTCAAACCACTGAACATTAATGTTGAATGAGCAATGGACAAGCTATGCGATTTTGGTTCCGCCAAGTCGTGTGACACGATCAGTGTGTTGCACACTGAGTTAGGCATCTCCGGAGATGCTGGAGAGGCAACAAGCACACCCCCATCTCGTTCGGCGTGGATTGGTGGGCCACGGGAGTCATTTTGCTTGAGCTCCTGAGTGGCACATACCCGTGGTTTGACGGAAACTGCGAAGAAGATGTGACTCAGCAGGTTCGTTTGGGCATCAACGCGGCTGATGCGGATGTTGACCCTCTTGGGTTGGACCTGGTGCACGGTGTATGCCACAAGGACCAGCTGGAGAGGTTCACCCACAGGGAGATCAAAGAGCATCCTTTTTTCTCCAATTTTTCTTGGACAGATTTTGAGGATGGGACAATGCAATCGCCCATTGGCAATTTGAACAAGGAGAAGTTGGAGTTGGAAAGTCAGGTGGAACTCCAGGCAGATGCAACTCCCAGGAGGATCCAGTGTCAACGACATGTTCATCGACCAAAGTACCGGAAGTCGTTGATGGTCACAGCGTGAGTTGAGAGGTTTCAGCCGCCACGAGCAGAGATGAAGGGCCATTCACAGCTGCAGAGGATGATTGGTGGCCATGGCTGTCCTGCCTTTGCAGATGCTTCGGAGCCTGGCAGAAGCTTCGTGCTGTGAAGGATCCTTTGCATTTCCCAGGGCGAACGATGGCCCTGGCGAGAGTTCGTGCATGAAGCTTCCGTGATGGAAATGTAAGTATATATAAAATTTGCCACTTGAAATTCCTGTGTGAACCTTCACGGCAAGCATTTTGATGGGGAAACCTCCGAATTAGATGATGCAGCCAGTCAATCAATCCAGCTTGGGGCGCTTGAGACCTCGTCCGTACCTCCTGACACCGAGATTGGTACGTACCTCCTGCAGGAGAACCAGAATCAGCAGGAACTCGCGTGCAGTGGAGCGCTGATCGCAGAATGGGCCTCTTTGAGACAAGAAGAGCTGCGACAAGAAGAGGAAGACTTGGAACAAGAAGATGAGGTGCGTCTTCGCGCCGGTAAGTGAGCGTAGATGTCACGTCCTGAAAGGTGAAAGGGGACCAAAACACAACAACATCAACACGTCGACACGGCTACATGTTGTTTGTTTTTTTTCATGTGGCACGGTCAGGTTGTGATACTGTGTTGATCTGATGTTTTTGACGGTTTTCCGATGTGGGGCATGACTCGGCATGACTGAACACACCATACCACAGCAGATGCTGTTCGTTGAGGTAGATGAACTCCGTCATATGGGCAGATCAATCAGCAAGAACCACCACCTCATTCACCACAGGTACTGCGTGTGTAGCATCATCGCCATGGCCATGGCCATCACCACCATCAGCTTCATCTCCAGTATCTCCATCACCACCTTTTGCTTAAGTTATCAAAAGCTGCCCTCCTCGTCTGGCAGGCGAATTCTCACGTCGAGCTCCAGTGGCAGTTCATGGTGCCGCCTGCCGCTTCCCCTTGGAGGGGACAAGCCCGCTTGAGATGTGGGAGCAATTGACCAAGAAGACCAACGTAATGCGCTCATGGGAGGGCAGGCGGGCAGGCTTTCACTAGTCACTAGCTTTCACCCTTGAATGGAAAGTGATGATATCCGTCGGTAGATGAGAAACGCCCCATCTAGAACGCCCGGTCAACACCCCTGCTCATCACCAACATCGTTCTAGATCGTTCTAGCAGTTTCGGTGTCACCACTGTCACTGCAAGACCCGATCAACATCCTGTTGCAACAGGATGGTGTCACCGAGATCCCCTTGGAGCGATGGGATGTCCACCAATTGGACTTTGATAAGTCGTATACCAACCCAGACTCATAATTGGATCACCCTGCATCCGACAGGAATGACAGAAGTCTTTTCGCAGAACTGGTGCGGTTTTGATTGTCACCCGGTCTTCCAAGGAAAGAAACGGACCTGGAGGAGATGTTAGCCGACATTCGCCGTGCTGTCGAGGCAGTGAGTTGGGTCACGGCAGGTGGGAAGTCGCGAGGCGCCAGTCTTGCGTCTCGCTCTGCAAGTTGGCTCCCAGTCAGCGCGCCAACGCAGTCGAATCCACCGGACGTACCTTGGTCCGGAGACGCTGCGGGAGCATTGAAAAGCTGGCAAAGCCACGTTGGTTTCCATCGACATCACTAGGGCTCTAGGGGGATCTTCGGATGTGGGAGGTTATTGACGGATCTTCAGCTGGGCAACATTCAGAACCACCCAACAGAAACTACAACCCCCACAACTGTTCCCACATCACTGAAATGGGTTTTCGAGGCCGGCCCTATGTGTCTGGAGGACCGTTTTGTGGCTGCCGTTTTCTTTGCAAACACTGTATTTGATGTGACCAGTTGCCGGAAATAACACAAAACTCCATTTCGCTGCACCATCTCGTTCAGCCACAAACCGAGCCCCAGTTTTAGATCGTGGAGACAGGCTCGCTCAGACCGTTCAAGCGCCTTCGACCATCCGGAAGTTCTTCCATAGTTACCATCCCATCACTATGCCCAGACACTCCATGTATGCCATATATGCCTACATTGGGGTGGTGCCAGGGGGG